AAACATTTAAAACACCTTCTATCAGGTTGCTCCTAATCGTGACAACAGCGACTTTTGACTGAAAGGTTCAAAACTAAAAATGGGGAATCAAACTGTTTTCTCTGTTACAAGTATAAATTCACAGTAAATTGAAGCTGTTATTCTGGATTAATTGAGGGTGGATTTGGTTCTCTCTGTGTGGTGTTAATCCGGGCAATCAATTAATCTGGGCAATCATCCATGTTACTACTTGGCTGTATAAAATGGTACTGGGAATTTTTTAACCTATTTGTTCCATCTGGGTGAACAGCATACAGTTCCTTGTGAGGATTGCACTTCAGATATTTGGCATTTGAAAACACTTAACAGAATCTCTGGCTTCCAGTGTTAGAGTGCTAGTCCCTATGAGCCCTTGCACATTATATATCATAGTCATGTGCCTTTTTTTTAATCAGTTTTGGATGTAGCACCTTCAACTGTATGAGTTTATGAAAGGCTTTTTTGAGAGTGCATTTAGGCAGACGCCCTCAGTCTAGCTGCCTCTTGCTGACCCGCTAGACAGACTGCATCTATGGCATGCATTTTCAGAGCATATCACATCCATTGGGATCGAATAGGCATTGAACTTCATTTTTCAGCAACAAAAGCCTGCGTGGATGTCCATGCTTATAGAAAATTCTAGGAGTGTTCTGATGAGGGTACTTATGAAAGTGATCTACTAGTTCTAAATAAATGGCTTAACTCACCCTTTTGCATCAAGGCAAGGTAAACATAGCTTTCAACTATTACAGGTTGCCCTCTCTCCCAATTTATGCTTAGTTTAAAATAATGGGGTGATTTTATTTTTTGTCCTCTGATCTCTGAGACAGTGTGGTAAAAGCAAGGTTACATTTTCAAGCTTTCCTTACCTGTCCTCAAAACAAGAAACTGTTTTTTGTGGAATCTGAGGTTCTTGGGGAACAGCTTTATGAACACCACCACATCTGACCAGAATTGGCCCCATTGCGCTGTCAGTAACACTCAGCCAGACATTCTCCTTCTACCAGTTCTCGCTGTGGCTGCCCCTGCTCCATCATAAGACAATGCCTTGTTCCTGACAAGGGGCATTAGGTATTTGCAATCTCTTCACCTACCTCTGTGCTGGAGCTAAGCAACTATGTGCACTAAATATGATTTCAGATAACCCCCTTTATACCTGAAGATGAATGGAATGGAATGCTACAGGGTACGCATACCCCAGGGGTACTCAGGAAGGTCTTCGGCGGTACACACAGGTGGGCGGGCAGGGATGGAGCGTGCCCTGGGACGCGGCAGCAGCGTCCCCCTGGTGCATTCGCTTCTTACCTGGGAGAGGGGGAGCGGCATGCTGGGCACTCCCGGCTCCATGCAGCACATTGCAGTGCTTCCCCACCCCCCATTCCAGCTTGCTCTCCTGATTGGCTAATAGCCAACAGCTGGTGGTGGCCACTGCATGTGAGCTTTCCCCTCATTTGGCCCCTCTCCCAGCACTGCTGCTACACGCATCTCGGGAGGGCATGGGGCGGGGGCGCACTCCTGGATTTGTACACGGGGTGGCGCAGGGCAGGCTGGGGCCAGGGCTGCACCAGGCTCTTCCTGGTGGGGGCTGGGTTGGGCAACACTTGGGGTGGGTGGCAGCAGTGCTGGGTGGGGGTTGTAGGGGTTATGGTGCATTCTGGAGTGGTGACAGCCCCTCCCATAGCACCCCTGCCAGTGCCACTGCCCATCCCAAGAACAGTCAGGCCCAATCCCCACATTGGGAAGAGCCTGGCACTGCTGAGCCCCAGCCTGCCCTGCATGCAGATCCAGGGGCATATGGGAGTGGGGGCCTATGGGAGTGGGGCTATGGGCAGGGGGGCTGCAGCCACTCCAGAATTCACCGTAGCCCCCCCAACCCCCTCCCAGCACTGTCACTACCCACCCTGAGTATAGCTTGACCCAGCCTCCACCGGAAAGAGCCCAGTGCTGCCCTGGCCACAGGCCATTCCATCCCATGCAGATCCAGGGGCACATGTCCCCCATGCCCTCCCGGGGGGGCACATAGCAGTGGGAGCTGCCCCCCTCTCTCCCGCATGGCTCAGTCCAATGCCCTGCCCCGGCTGGACAGCCCCTGCCCCTGACCCACTCCGTCCCACCACTGGGGCAGCACAGCCTGCCCCGCCCCGCCCCACCCCTCCCCATGCAGATCTGGGGTCACATGGCCCCCGTGCCCTCCTGAGGTGTGCACAGTTGCAGGAGCTTTCCCCCCTCACCACACAGCCCAGATTTTCATAGATTTCATAGACATTTGGGATGGAAGGGACCCCGGAGAATCATCGAGTCCAGCCCCCTGCCCCAGGGGCAGGAAGTCAGCAGGGATCATAGGATCCCAGCAAGATAAACATCCAAATGTGTCTTGAAGGCGTTCAAAGTGGGTGCTTGAACCACCTCTGGCGGCAGTCTATTCCAAACCTTGGGGGCTCAGACAGTGAAGAGGTTCTTCCTTATATCCAGCCTGAATCGGTCACGGAGAAGTTTGTGATCATTTAATGTTGTCATCCCTTGGGGTGCTCTGGTGAACAGATGTTCCCCCAGATCCTGGTGAGCACCCCTCATAAACTTATAGGTGGCCATCAGATTACCCCTGAATCTGCACTTTTCCAGGCTGAAGAGTTCCATGCCTCAGCCTCTCATCATAAGGTCTGTTTTCCTGACCTCTGATCATGTGCGTGGCTCTTCTCTGCACTCTCTCAAGCTTCTCCACATCCTTTTTGAATTGTGGAGCCCAAAACTGGATGCAATACTCCAGCTGTGGCCTTACCAAGGCCAAGTACAATGGGATAATGACGCCCTGGGATTTGTTTGAGAAGCATCTATGGATGCAAGCCAGCATTTTGCTTGCTTTACTAGCTGCAGCATCACATTAAAGGCTCATGTTCATCTTGCGGTCAATCATGACCCCCAAGTCCCTTTCATCTGTAGTGCTAGCCAGCGTAGCACTGCCGAACCTATAAGCATGCTGCAGGTTTTTCCTCCCAAGGTGGAAAACCTTACATTTTTTGGTGTTAAACACCATCAGGTTCTCATCTGCCCATTTCATGAGCCTGTCAAGATCTGCCTGGATCACCCTCCTGTCCTCAGGTGTGGATACTTTACCCCAGAGTTTGGTGTCATCGGTGAACTTGGCCAGCCTGTTTCTGACACCAATGTCTACATCATTGATGAAGATGTTGGAAAGTATAGGCCCTAGGACAGAGCCTCGAGGAACCCCACTGGTCACAGCTCACCAGATGAGCTGGTCATGGCTCCATCCCTCACCTCACCCCATCCCAGCTGTGCAGCACCTGCCCCAGACCCACTCCCTCCTGCACTGTGGGGTCCTCAATGTTCCCCCCTCCCTAAAAACAAGAAAAAAATATAAGGGGGTACAGGAGCTGAACCTCAGAAGGGGTACACTTATTAAAAAGGTTGAAAACCCCTGATCTGTGACATATCGCTTAGGAAATGTGTGTTATTCTCTCCCCCCTCCACCTGCAAATGATTTTATCCCAGGAAAAGGCTCTAATATAAGGCACCTATACACATGCCCTTGTGCTAATTAGCACGTGTCGGAGCAGGCTCGATTAATTGAGTTCGCTGGAGTGCACTAACATGCTCCAGCAGCCTTGGCATTATGTGTATTCAGCATCCCTGTACTTCAGAATAGTACTGGGGTTGCTTTAACTAAAGCTCATCAAACAAGCTTTAGTTAAAGCTCCCCCACCACCATTTTGAAGCACAGAGATGCTGAATACATGAGACACTGCAGGCATTTTAATTAGAGCAGTTCCTAAGAGCTGCTGTAAAGTGCCCCTTCCTCCCTCCCCGCCGAGCACATGTAAAGACACCCTAGACACAGCTGTCCCAGGATCAACATGCTTTTTCTGCTGTAGCCTCTTTCTACACTGGCAAAAGTGGTCTGACAATAGAAACTGCAACCATAGCAAATCATTTCTAATTTGATCAGTTAACTCTGTCTCACCTAAAGGCAAAGCATTAGTAGGTGTGTCTCAGCAAAATCATTCTGCGGTTTCTCTGACATGTTTTATGCCTGGCAACTCCCACAACGGCATTTTCTCCCCTTGAGGCTCTTATTGCATGGGATCCTTATTCACAGCTGCTTATCCTATTATAAGACTTTAACTCTTTTTAAAATAAAGGTAAAGTTTGCAAGTAGGCAACCTATTTTTTTATTTAAATTAAATTGGCAGAAGGATACAATCAGCTGCAGAATTAGAGCAATTATAGGTAACCTAACAGATAGCTCAAGGAGAAAACTTTATGTGAGAGAGTTTTGAAAATACAGGACATAACTATACTAAAGGAAATAGTTAAAAACTTTGGGATCTTCTTACCCCATTCAGTTCCTTCCTTGCATGTCTTACCTTTTCTCTTTCTTCCTCTCCAGCTGCTTCTTCCCTCTGAACAAAGAGCAGTCATTTTTGACAAGTAATTTCCAAAGGGTTCTGTGGCATGCTAGTATGGTGCAAAAAATTATACTTTATTAGTATGAAATCTGGCCCAGGGAGTCATGTCGTCTGGCCTGTACTGCTCCCTTGGGTCCAGAAATTTGGTTGTGGGAGAGCGCTGGCAATTAGCACTATCACCACTCCCCATCACCCAATTTCCAAGTTCCATATGTTGGGATCAGGCCTATGGATTGTATCTAGCTCATGGACTGTCCTGGCACTGCTCATCCAGCCTGTGGGGCCAAATGGTTGGGCACTGCTGCATGAGTTGGACACACACACCCCATCCCACCCCTCTCCCCAAAAATCTTTGTTTACACTGACATTTGAGAAACATTCTTCTTTGCTTAATGTTTGTTCAGGAACCTGAAACGTGGGAGCATGTCAGGGAAACCTAAACTTACCTACTTCAATGGGAGAGGGCGAATGGAATCAATACGGTGGCTTTTGGCAGCAGCTGGTGTGGAGGTTAGTCTGCATTGTGATCCTCCAACTGGACATTCTACATAACACAGGCCCATGGAAAAAGAAGTTACTCCAGGCTGACTGAAAGGGTGGTTCATGCTCTGAATCATTAATGATCAACCAAAAATTTGTATATATAACAGCTGGCTCTCAAATCCTGGCCATGGTAGTCACTTTGGCCAGTAGGTTGAATGTAGGTATCATTGGCCATGTCTACACGGTGGACTGCATAGTTGTTACTGTGCAGTCATTTAGTACTTGCTTTTGCAAATACTGTACTAAATAACTGTGTAGTAACCAGTGTTACTGCATAGTACCATCACTGCATGGGTTTTTTCCGATGTTACTGTGCCGTAGCTGCTTACTACTGAGCAATATCACCACCACAAGGTTAGTGCCTGGCAACGTTACTACACACTAGCAACTAGCTACTGCATAGTAGCTCATTGCTACTGTGCAGTAGCGTCTTGTATAGATGTGCCCATTCAGTACATTATTTTTAATGGTTAAAGTTCAGGGTGGGCAATGCCAGTGGAGTTTGAGGTTTTATAAACCTCTTGAGCGATTTTGAGAGTATTACGAAGTTCAGAAATTAGCTTGAGTTTCCACTCTTATAAAGATACCATCATGTCATGGCACTAGCATCCCAGTTATAATGTACATGTGATACAGGATGTAGCTGACTCCTTGTTTTGCAGCATGAGTTCAAAGGGAGTCACTTGTTTCCCTTGCTCCTCTGTTATATGCTGATATGATATGTCGGCCTGTACTTTGCTTATTTATGGGACATCATATAGAAAGAGCAGAGGTTAATCACATTTGTTCCCTTAGGCTCTGACCTGTGCTGGGAGACTGGGCCCAGGATCTGGAGACCCCAAAGGGTAATACTGTACTTTCCCTGCTCAGCAGGAGAAAACCATTGAGAAGGTGGCTCATTGTCTTTTAATTATCGTGCCATGTTTGATATATTGCTCTGTTTTGCCATGTGATCATGAGGTGGTCATGTGCTAACAGTCTGTTTGGAGTGTGATATTGTAATGCATTTCATCTCTTTTCTTTTCTAGTTTGAGGAGGATTTTTTGGAAACAAGAGAGCAGTATCTCAAGTTAATTCAAGGTAAGACTTGAGTTTGCATGCTTGGTCAAAGAGGATGACCTTCCAGATAGAATGGCACCATGCTTCGGTCAAGGGTATACGATAGCTGTGCTTCCCTGCTAGAACCTCCAAACAAGCTCAAGATCCATTTGTAGCAAGACCTCAGGCATATCTAAATGAGATCCTTAATATGGTAGTCTGCTTTTCTCTAAGTAACTGGCTGGCAGCACTGGGGATTTGTGTGGGTCACAGGCTCAACATGAGTCAGCAATGTGATAGTTTTGGACTATATTAGGTGTAAGATGCAGAAGGTAATGGTACTAGCATACTCGGCATTGGTTAGGCCTCATCAATGGTATTGTGGCAGTTCTGGGCTTCTCAGTTTAAGAAGGCTATGGAGAAATTGGTGAGTTTCCAGAGGCAGGTGATAGAAATGATAAAAATGAACAAGAAATGGTTGAGAGACCTAGGCCTGTTTAGCTTGGAGAAAAAGAGATTAAGGCGGGGGGGAGGTGGGGTATGATAGCACTTTTCAAACACTTGAAAGACTGCAATAAAGTAGGCTGTAGCCTATGAAAGCTCATTCCTCTCTGAATGAGTTGGTCTATAAAGTGCCATCCTGCCCTGCCTTCTACCTCCTACTGCAGGCTGAACACCCCTGACCTAGGGTTTTAGCTGTGTGATCAAAAAGGTAGAGCTGAGTTCAGAGCTGTGGTGTAAAAAAAAGTGACAAGAATGGCAAGGGTTTAATGTGCATGTCTAGTGAAAGGGCCAATTTAAAGTTGATGCCTGGGTTACTAGCCTTGTAGAAAGCACATTGTATATAGGGAACTCTGAGCTAGTTTTTTCAAAGCACTGGAAGCAACATGGCTCAGGTGGAAAACCTCACTAACATGGCTATACTGCTTCCAGTGGCTGCACTGTTCAGGTTTCCCTATCTGATCTGTATTGTGCTGTATATAGCCTAGGAGGATGGCAATGATATCTCTGGTGAGGAGCAGAGGGGAGGGCTTGTTGAGATGGATCTAGAACTCAATGTTTTATGTAGATGTGAGGATGGTAACTGGACATTTATGAAGAGACATCAGAAAGACAAGCTAAAATACTAAATTGTCTGAAAAGAGGTAGCTTAACAGCAAAGAGGAAGATTTATGAGTCTTCAATTTAGAAGAGACTCTGGATTATGTAGACGTCCTCCACTTGTATATGGAGGTGGGGCTGGACTGGTATAAACCTGTGCTTAATCTTCTCATTTTTTTCTCATAATGCAACAGCAAGTTTTGTCTTGTACACCACTAGTAAATAAAAAGATGTTTGATTTCTGTTTGTATTGCATATTGTGTTTGGACCTGATCTATATTTGTTCTACTGAGGCATAAAGGAGGGTGGATGCAATAGGTATTATTTGAGAAGAAAATAAATGAGTGCTCTTGTAAGAGTGTCTCAGTAATTTCCCACAGTTCAAGACTGATTCTTGCTTGAATGCCCTGGGCTAAAATGATATAATTCATTGCAGCAGGCACCTACTAGCTGAGGTGATGATCTGGGAAATCTGTTAAACACAAATTTCACTAAGATTTATGAACTGTCAGTATCATTCTGACATGCTTATGTATCTCTTTCGATGCTTTGCCTCACTTGTTTGTGCTAAAGAGACCATGGGATGGTATTTGCAGATATATGGATGAATAGATTGATTGCTAAGATCAGTCAGCACCTGAATGAATCTAGCCTGGGGAGAACAAAAGAGTGGAACTGCACCAGAGCTAGTCCTTAGTCCAACACGGCTACAACCAACACCCACCACAGCTAGAGCCACTCACTGGGGGTTAGGGCTTTATAGGAGAGCAATTTTTCCAGCAGCAGAGAAATAATCAGGTGTTATTGCTGATTTTAAAACCACAGAGCCTCCAAGAGTCACAAGGCCCTCACAGGAAATTGAGGGAAAACTATCTGAAAAGCAAGTTAGATACCACAGCATTTAGCTTTCCAGCACCTGACTTTTAGTTGCTTAGTTGCTAGAGTAGACAACAACAGAAGATGGAAAAGTGGGAGCAGCAGCAACCGCGTGTCACGGGCTGAATCAAGAATCCAGAGCCACCCACCCCACATGGACACATGTGCCTGAGTTGCACTAGAACCACTAGAACCTCTCGATTCTTGATTGCCCTTGTCAGCTCTAATTAAAGCACCCCAGCATCTTGTGTATCAGCATCCCCACACTTAAAAATGGTGGTAGGGGTGCTTGAACTAGCTCATTCAACAAGCTTTAGTTGAAGTGTCCCTGCTGACATTTTTAAATGTGGAGACTCTGATACACGAGATGCAGGAGGCTGCTGGAGCGCACTAATTACCATGCTCCAGCTGACTCAATTAATCAAGCCTGTTCCAACACACTTTAATTACAGCGCATCGAACTAGCCCTCCTGCTCGTGTATAGATGCCGTCTATGCCTGGTTCCCTTTCCAGTCCCTGGCTTCCTCTAGGGGCCTCGGAATATGATCTAAACCATCAGCATGGGAAGGGCTGCATAAAACTAGCCAGAAGGGGCCCTTTTATGGCCTGCAGAAAGATGCCTCCATTCACATAAAATTAATAGCCTGAAACCCTCTCCTGAAGGCTGATGATTGCTTCCTTTCTTGCAAGAATAGAAGCAAAGATTGCTCCTTCCTTTTCAAACAGGATTCCTCAGAAACTGAAGACACCTTACTTCTATACAAGTATTTACTGAAAATGAGTTTGGATGCTAATTGAATGCTAATTTTTCATAATCTATTACACTGTGAAACTAAACAACTGTTTAATATGCAACAACTGAAGAACCTTTTTATCTTAGGTTAATTAAATATTTTCAGTGCTGTGAGCAGAGGAAAATAGACAGAATGTCCTGTTAAATCCAAGATGTATTTATAGCAAATGCAGTATATTAGGAAGTATAATAACTAATGTCTTGTTGGGCCTAACCCTGCACTACTTAAATCAGGAGTTTTTTGTTTCTTTGAGGACAGTTTTTTGCTTCTTTGTTGCATTCTTCATGGCAGCAAACATCTCTAATCATAGGTTCATAAAGTAAAATGTAAATTTATTGTTCTAGAGGTTAGCTGCAGAGTAGCTGGGATTAATCTTTTCCACAACATGAATTTTACTGCATTAAATGTTAGTGTCCTGGGAGAAATCAAAGATCTTCTAAAATACAATAGGAAATGAACTAAAAGCTAAGACTTTTTTCAGTTCCATTTTGACTAAGTAACAATACACTGAACTTTCTTTTCTAAAGATGGACACCTCCTGTTTGATCAAGTTCCACTGGTGGAGATTGATGGGATGAAGATGGTGCAGACTAAAGCTATTCTCAGCTACATAGCAGGGAAGCACAACCTCTATGGGAAGGGCCTGAAGGAGCGAGCCTTGTAGCGTAACCCCTCCTTTTGATTATAAAACTGTAATGGACATGGGGGGGGGGAAGGGTGGTGGACCTCAAAGATCATCGAATACACCCCCCTACAGACAGGATTCATTATTCCCAAACTGTCGCAGTCAAATATCTACTCTTGCAGATCTCCAATGAATGAGATTCTACAACTTTCTGAGGCAATCCTGTACCATTGACCTACTCTTCTTTAAGAGTTGGTCTTTAAGGTTTTCATGAAATTTGATCTAAAGCTGCTTAGCTGAAATTTAATACTATTTCCTCCTATCCTGCCACCTATAGTGAACAAAACAGATTATATAAAGTTATCTGTAAACAGTTACATTTCATCAGTTGCTTGAAATATCTGATATACATGTTCTTTTCTTTCCCCCACAACAGCATTGACACATATGTGGAAGGAACAACAGACCTCATGCAAATGATCTTAACACTTCCTTTCTCTCCACCTGAGGCAAAAAAAAAGAATCTTCCCTTAATCATTGAGAAAGCCAAAAACCGATACTTCCCAGCCTATGAAAAGGTAAATGGGAATTAAGTAATGATTCATTCTATGGCACTGTCATGACTGCAAAAACATACAGGGGAGGCACGAGTCCAAATACTTGTGAGTGAAATTAACTATTTTCAGTTTCAAGCCAGGAAATGGAATAACCCCCATTTTAGAGAGATACCTGGGAAAGAAGTAGGCCCGTAACTGAGAGGGGTAAACATACAAAGTGGACTGCAAGTGATTTAGTCTGGTAGCTGCAGCTGAAGTTAGTGGGAATTACACAGCTAAATCCCATTTTGCTTTCCTGTCCAATCATCTGCTTCCAGAAACAGGCATATAGGCTTAGGCTAGGATTTTCCCAAGCACTGAGTACAGGCATAATTATGCTCACATTTAAATTAGTAGTAAATTTCCTTGGAATTCAGTGGGAGCCAGTGGAAAATCCACAGACCCCTGGCCTTGTGATGTGCTCAGTATCTAGCCAGCTAGTTAAAGATAGTGGGACTGAGGGAATTTGAAGAATCCTTGAATTTGAAAACTCTTGAATTGTTTGAATATTCAGGTGGGATTTTCAAGATAACAAAAATAAGTAAGCTACGCATTGCCCTGATATTTTTTAAGTCCTTTGGTTACTTAAAAAAAAATCCTCATTTAGGGCTTCCAGTGAAGTCAATAACAATATTTTCATTGACTTCAGTGGAAGAAAGAACATACTAGAATCCTTCTTTATACTAAGGTAAATCATACAATGGCAGCTTTTATTGTAGAGACAGGTTATAATGTACTCACAAGATAAAGGACTACCTCTGTATTCGTTGTTCATGCATTTTGTGTGTAAATACTCTATTGACACAGATCCGATTCAGGATTACTAAGAGTATTGCAAACAATATCCCTAAAATTATAACATTTCAGTGATGTGGAGTCTTTTCAAGCTGCAAACCCTCAGTTCTGTGAAGTCATTTACAGGTGAAAATATTGAAATGTAAGTCTTCCTCAGTGTACTCTTATGTCTTCACCACTATAATATTTGAAAACCTCCTACAAAACATGCAAGAACTGATAACAGTTATGTCAATTTCACTGCTTACTTTATGTTTTCACTAAAATATATGTATGAACATGTCACTGAATTTTTGCCTAGAAGAAATGGTCAATGCTCAGTCATGTTCAGAGCATATTTGCATTTAATTGGAACATTTTCAGTACAAGAATGAAAAATAATATACAAAGATAAACTTCCCAAATTTAAAGAAAAATAAAAAAACATACTTTTTGAACATGTCATTTCCAAAATTAAAGCAAAATAGATCCTTATCAACCACACAATTAACATTTTTCATTTTATAATGTCTGTAAAATTAAATCTCCTTTGGATGGAAAACAATAATATGCTGATGAGCCTCATGGAATTCTCCATAAATTAAATTAAGTAATTTCCATATGCCAAGCAGGTCTGATGGCCATTTGAATTTAAAAATTAAAATCTCATTTTCTAGGGTGTCTCTGGTTCAACTATAGCCATCACTTGGCCATTTATGTTTCCTGATATCCATAATCCCTACACCTCCTATTTCTTAGCGAATACAAATATTTTACTTCAGTGTACATCTCTGTTTCAGTCACCAGAGATTTCCACTGTTAATAGAAACAAAAAAGCTTTTAGTCTGTTAAGTACAAACATTTCATTTAGTGCTAAGGTTTTGTATTCTAATAGTGGGCATGTCAGGAGTACTAACATAATATAGGAGCATAAGTCCCAAACAGTCACTGTGTCACTTTTGAAATCCCATCCAAAAGTTTCATCCAAAGAGTATGACCTTGTAATTCTTTATGTTCAGTTAACTGTATTTCCAGTTGTACCTATAACGTGTATTGCCTTGTATTCTATAGGCTTTGAAACAGCATGGCCAGGGGTTTCTTGTTGGTAACCAGCTCAGCTGGGCAGATGTACACCTGCTTGAAGCTATTCTAATGGTAGAAGAGAAAGAGCCCACTGTGCTTTCTGAGTTTCCTCTGTTACAGGTATTTCTCCTATTAAAGCTCAATGACTTTGCCTTGAACAAAGACTTCCAAATGCTCATTTCAAGGGACTCTTGGGCTGGTTCTGATCTCATCTGGAAACACTACTGCAGGGGTTTTCAACTTTTTTTAATAAGTATACCCCCAGCAGCTGGGCGGGGTGGGGAGGTGGTGCATGGCCGGATGCAGAGCAGCAGCAGTGCAGGGTGGTGGGTAGCAGTGGCAGCAGCCACTGTGTGCAAGCTTCTCCCCCATGTTGGCCAGCTGGGAGGTGCCTGTGCAGCCTGCAGAGGGGTGCCGCTGCCCTTCTGTTTTTTTGTATCATCCCAATGAAGCCCAGATCTGGTTGTCCTTCAAGAGTTACCCCAGGATAAATATTAAATCTTGTTAGGGTTAGGGTGATATAATTTGGATTAGAATAACCCTCAATATGTTTTCTGTGGCTTATTTTACAGTGGGATAATATCTTTAACTTCAGTAGAGTTAATGGCATAATCTTTAATACTCGAAGCTTAATATAACTGTATATATTATGGGCTTCCCAGGGAGGTGGTGCTCTCCCCTACCTTGGGGGTCTTCAAGAGGAGACTGGACAAGCACCTAGCTGGAGTTGTCTGACCCCAGCTCTCTTTCCTGCCCAGGGTAGGGGATCGGACTCCATGACCTACTGAGGTCCCTTCCAACCCTAATATCTATGAATATATCTATGAATAACTAAGGGTGAGATTCTTGGGGTTCCTCTGCATGCACCAAAGTATCAGACAGTGTAGCTGTATTGCATTTCTGCTCTGGAGTTAGACCAGGGATCAGAGGGTCTCCATATATACTGCAGGCTGTAGAGCCAAGGGCAAGCAGGCCTGAGGGATGGTCTACATAAATTGCACATAGCAAAGATCTACTGGTCTCAAATGTTCTCTGATGGGAAGAAGCAGGCTGAGTTCACTGGTAATGCAGCAGCTGGGTGCCAGCTAATTCAGACTGGGTTGCGGATGCTGTTCCTGTGCACATTCTCTTGCTCCCTCAGGTTGTGTACTCTAAGTACTTTGTCTGAAATCCAAAGCAAACAATTACACAACTAACCATAATAATTCCAAGTTTGTAACTGGCTAGCTTTTAATCTAAGCATCTCCAGTGTAAACCTGAAATGAGATGCATCATTCTATTATATTGTACTTCAAAGTGGAATGAGGCAGTCCTACCAGCAGAGCTGTAGCCAGGCATTTTGGTGTCCAGTGTAGGTCATGTCCAAAGCACCCCCTTATGCACTACTACTTAATTACTTACATTTGATTGGTGCGAGGGCATCTGGTGCTAGTACCACAGTACTGCCTATCAGAGACTTTTGTCCACATGGTTACCAGGCCATGAATTACAAGGGTAATCCCCAACCACCAAGTGGAGAAGTATTCTCTGGAATCAATGCTTACTTTTCAATGCCCTACTTTTAAACTTCTTTTTTCATGTCCTGTCATCTCTGATTAACCTTCTAAAGGAAGGAAGGGAGACAGACTGAGTCAGCAAGTGCCAGCTGTTTCATTCTGAAGCCAGATGAAAATGTAGGGTGCAGACAGAAGTGTAGTTCCCTGTTGTAGCTAAGAACACTTTGCAGGAAGCGTTTCTGAATTATAACGATGCCTTGGACCAAACAGAAGTTCACTGTTGGTCCTAGCGGGTAGCCTGCAGCCCATTTCCCCTAGTAATGGCCCTTTCTCCCTGCGAGGCTGCAAAGTTTTCAGAATAGGAGTGGGGGAAAGAGATCTTATTCTAGGGGTTACCCAGCCAGTGCTGAAGGGTGGGGTTGAGTGAATTGGAGCTGCCCCACCTTGGTCTCCAATACACCCACTCCAGACCCCCAGATCAAACTCCCTCTGCTCCCTTTCCCCACCTCCCATTCTGAAAACAGCAACAGGCTGGCAGGCAGGCAGACAAGTTACAGAAGACACACTGTTTTGAAACAGTGAGGGGTCAGATTTTCACTTGATTGGCCAACGTTGAAGCAGTCTGCAGCCATGAATTTGTGTTTGGTCACAGCTATAGACCACCTTCTGTGGCCAGATTGGGTGAAAAGTGTCACTTCTATCTGTGCCCCTTGGCCATTTTATACACATGCTCCAGGTGTGTGGGTGGGGGTGCTTTAATTGGAGTGGATCCAAGATTCTCTCTGATTAAAGCATCCAGAGCATCACGTGTATCAGTTGAAAAAATTGTGGCAGGGGCACTTTAACTAAAGCTCATTTAATGGACTTTAGTTGAAGTGCCCCTACCGCCATTTTTCAGCATGGGGACACTGATACACATGATGTTGGAGTCTGCTGGAGTGCAGTAATTACCATGCTTCAGCAGACTCGATTATATTAATTGATTAATCGAGTCTGCTCCAACATGCTATAATTACAGCACATTGGAACAACCTCTCTGCACATGTATAGGCACCCGCTGTGATCAAAATTGCTCACCTAAACTTAGAGACTTCCAGATGCTTGAAATTTGTATTAGATTCAGCTTTGGAAAAGGTGTTATACTAGGAATTTTCAGGGTATTTCTACCTTCTAGACAGAACAGGAACATTAACTCTAGATAGGGCTGATAGATAACCCTGTTATCTTAGCAGGTGTATACAATATGGTGGTTAAAATGCCTACACCTAACCAGCTCACATCATTAGTGGCAGCAATGAAAAAGGAGTTTTAAAATTCAGATTTCCAGACTGTCTGTAACATTCCCAGTTCTTTTGAATGTCTGCTTTCCATTTATCTTCAGCCTCAGAAATTTGAGAGCTGCTCCTTCTCTGGTTGACAGGAGCAAAAGCCTACTGGGGCCAGTGGGCCCTGCTGAAAGAAAGAAATGGATTTTATCTGTTCCGAATGCCAAGATAATAGGATCTCCTATATCAGTGGCAGTGAAGCAGCTCTTTTACTTCTATAATGAGCTGTGTTTCTTCAAAATCAATGTGTTGGCTTTATCTGTTTAAGCTGTTGTAAGTTATTTTCTTGCTTCTGCATTGTTTCTCATTTTAGGGTTTTAAAACAAGAATAAGCAACATGCCAACAATTAAGAAATTCCTGCAGCCTGGAAGTCAGAGGAAACCCCAGCCTGATGACAAATATGTGGCAACTGTGATGAAAATTTTAAAGGAAGGCTAAATGCCAAGTTCTACCCTCGGGGAACATTTAGAAGTGGATAGGTGGCTTACCACTGACGTTAAAAATAATTGCAACCCAGTGATCCAAAACCTTCTGATTAATCTTTGTATTCTGATTCCAGTTTGTTTTAATACATGTTAAGTTCCTGATAAAATGTTGAAATAAAAGATTGGTTAGGAACAGTGACTGCATATGCATATTCCTGTCCATTTAGAGAGAGGTATTGCAGGCACCATCAGAATATAAATTACAAGAAAGAGTACAAAAGGGTATTAGAAGCTGAACTCTGGGACTAAGTCAGGAAGCAATGAGGTTTGTGCCCCGGAAGGACCTCACTTATACATGTAGCAGAGCTGTAGTGTATGAATTGATCCAATAAACAACAGGCCAGAACAGTCTCTGATGTACAGCAGTGTTGCATAAAGCAACCCCAGAACCTAACCCCTCACAGGATGATGGGGCACTGCAGTAATCCTTCCTCAGTTTTTCTCTTATCCTAAGTGATTCTTTCACCTTCAGCCTAGTTCATTTGTTGATGTGATTATCCCTTCTGAGGTATCAAAGAAAAAAACAAGTCTTGTACCCCAATCTCAAACTAGATACAACTTTCCTTCTCAGGGGTCTGTTTCTTCTCCTACCTCTCGTCTGGCATAACCTTTCTCTTAGTCTCTGATTCATCTCCCTCCTGGGCTCTCCTCAGTCTATCATCTTCCTTGTTACAGGGGTCCCTTCAAACCCATGTATGATTCATAGATTGTGGGGCTGGAAGGGACCTTGCAGATCATCAGGCCCAGCCCCCCCACCCCTGCTCTAGGCAGGAAGACAACTGGGGTTAGGTGACCCCAGTGAGGTGACTGTCCAGTCTCCTTTTGAAAACCTCCAGGATAGGTGACTGCACCACCTCTGGAGGGAGTTTATTCCACAGTCTGGACACCCTGAGTTTTTCCTGGTCTTAAGCCTGAAGCAGTCTTCCATGACTTTGTATCCATTGGTCCTGGTCTTCCCTGGGAGTGCCCTAGTGAACAGTTATTCACCAAGCTCCTGATGCACTTTTCCGATATAGCGGTAAACCACTGTCAAGTCCCCTCTCAATCTTCTCTTCTTTAGGTAAAGAGGCCCAGGTCCCTCAGCTTTTCCTCATATGGCTTGCCTTGCAAGTCCCTGATTATACGGGTGGCTCTTCTCTGGACCCCCTCAAGTTTTTCACATCATTGAAGTGCAGCGCCCAGAACTGGACACAATACTCCAACTGTGGTCTCACCAGTGCTGAGTACAGTGGGAGTATCACTTCCTTAGTTTTATGTCAGTATAGGGGCGAACAATTCACTGTCTAGTGCAGGTAGCTGGTCTAAAACAGTGGTTTTCAACCTTTTTTGTACCAGGACACATTTGTAAACATCAAAGGCCAGTCCCAACCCAGTGCCCCTCACTCCTGACCCACTGGCCCCAGTCCCCCCATGTGTGGGGCAGGAAGTGGGTGTGCAGGGCAGGGGCGGGGGGCAAGTAACCCCTTGCAGGTTGGAACTCTGCCAGCCTGAAAGGGAAACACCACACTTCTCCATGTTTTTCTTTAAAGGAGAGTCCATTTTTAAAGTTTGTTTGTGACCCTTTCATATATTCTTGCGTGGTCACGATACACGGGTTGAGAAATGCTGGTCTAAAGAATCCTGTACAGTTGGGCTCTGTCTATAACTGAAACCCTTCTTACTTTTGCTGCTGCTTATATTGAACACTAGCCTGCCATTTCTGGAGAGTCCTTTCTCTTGGATACTTCCCAGCCTCAGTCCCTGGAATAAATGTCTTCTTCCTTCAAGCTGCACAGGGTAGCCACTACCTTGCCTGGAACTATGCTACAGTGCCAGCTGGCTTCTCCTCCCTACCAGGAATCTGCTTTACTCTAGGGATGTCCTGTCTTGTAGTTATCTCCTGCCTCTATGGTCTCCCTCCCTAAATGACACTGCACCTGTTTTCCCACCAGGCCTGTCTTTAGTTACCCAAGGATAGATCCACAAAAGGAGGTAAGAGATTTTCTCTTGTCTCCCTGCCAATTTAGACACCAAACTCCAAAATGTAAAACCTCAGAATGCCTGCTCTGTTGCTGCTGCTTAACCCTGAAACTGCCTAATTTTTCACCAGCCAAGTTGTCTAGGCACCTCAGGGTACATCTAATCATGTTCTGAATAAGACCATCATGCTGCCAAAGAGAAAGTCCTATTCATTCTGTTCATTTTGTCAGCACCTTGACTCACAAATCTGTAGTGTAAATGCCCTAGAGTGGTGCTGAGTCTGTCCTGGCATCATTCTTAGGCTGTCCTGCAAGCAACATTACGCTGCCAGAGTCAGCCTCAGCACAGTGCCAAGTCATGATTTCAGTTCCATAGCAAGCTGTTTACACCCCTAATTTACAACCTCAGAGGTGAATGCATAGGACTTATTCAGTAACATGCCTTACTTGGAGCGTGGTATCCAGATACTGTAAACAACTGCCTCTACACATGCACAGAGTTGCCTAACTCTTGATGGGCTGAGCAGTGAGGCAGCTATGTAGTATAGTATTTAAAGGTTAATTTTATGCAGGAGAACCCAAATTAAATACCCTAACCTCCATGGTAAGTCATGGTCACCTTCTCTCCCACTCATCTACTACTCACTGGGGGGAGTAGTAGATATGCTGAAGGGTAGGGCTAGGATTCAGAGTGACCTAGACAAATTGGAGGATTGGGCCAAAAGGAATCTCATGAGTTTTAACAAGAACAAGTGCAAAGTCCTGCACTTAGGACGGAAAAATCCCATGCACTGGTACAGGCCGGGGCTGCCTGGCTGGGCAGCAGCTCTGCAGAAAAGGACCTGGGGGTTACAGCGGACAAGCTGAATATGAGCCAGCAATGTGTCCTTGTTGCCAAGAAGGCTAACAGCATCCTGAGCTTCACTGGTAGGTGTGTTGCCAGTAGCTCAAGGGAAGTGATTATTCCCCTCTATTCAGCACTGCTGAGGCCACATCTGGAGTAGTGTGTTCAGTTTTGGGCCCCCCACTATAGAAAGGATGTGGACAAATTAGAGAGAGTCCAGTGGAGGGTGACAAAAATAGTTTAGGGACTGGGGAACATGACTTATGAGGAAAGACTGAGGGAACTGGGCTTATTTAGTCTTGAAAAGAGGAGACTTAGTAACCGTCTTCAACTACCTGAAGAGGGGTTCGAAAGAGGATAAAGCTAGGCTATTCTCAGTGGTGGCAGATAACAGAACAAGGAGCAATGGTCTCAAGTTGCAGCAAGGGAAGTTTAGGTTAAATATTAGGAAGAATTTTCTTACCAGGAGGATAGTAAATCACTGGAACAGGTTGCCCAGAGAGGTGCTCCATCGTTGTGGTTTTTCAATACCTGGCTAGACAATGGTTTGGCTGGGTTGATCTAGTTAGGCCTGGTCCTTGAGCAGGGGGTTGGACCAAATGACCTCCTGCCCAGAGAGGTGCTCCATCGTTGTGGTTTTTCAATACCTGGCTAGACAATGGTTTGGCTGGGTTGATCTAGTTAGGCCTGGTCCTTGAGCAGGGGGTTGGACCAAATGACCTCCTGAGGTCCCTTCCAGCCCTAACTTTCTATTATTCTATGTTTCTATCCCATGAACTGAAAGTGGAATAGCTCTAATTAGAGGGGTACAGAGAACCCCTGTCCCCCCCCCCCCGGAATATCCTGTAGCCTGACAGTTAGAACATTTACCTGGGAGATGTACCTCAGGTCATGGAGAGAAATGAACTGGGATCTCTCAAATCCTGCTTGACTCCTTTAACTACTGGGCAGAATGAGGAAAATGGGCCCAGTATTCTTCCATAGCTATTCTAGCTAGGGGGTTTAGGCTTGCGAATTTTGAGCAGAGGTAAGTGCATGGGTGACTGGTGCCTCCCGAGTCTGGGCACCAGATCACAGACCAGGGGGGGCGACGGGGGTAGGGGTGCGAAGTGTCCCCCAGCAGCTGAGTGCCAATCGTGGAACCACAAGGGGCGAAACTGGTACTTCCAGTTTCACAGCTGGTACTTCCAGGGGGTGCATGGCCAATCTCAGGAGGTGTATGTGCACTCACGTGCACCCCCTATGCGTTGCCAATGGGTAAGTTTCTAAGTTCCAGAGAGGTGAAGGGGTGCTTCTTTCTTGAACATTTTCCATTGGCTGGCTTAGGTGGCTCCCCCCCGCAACATGCAGGCAGTGCAAATTCTGTTCTAATAATAGAAGCAGAGAAAAATAGGAACCTCCAGAGGTCATCTAGTCCACCCCCCTACCTGGGCAGGATCATCCCTATCCAGACCATCCTCTACAAATCCATTGTCTAACTTAACAACACTACCCAGTCAACCCTGACTTGACACAAGACATAACACCCTAACCTGCCACAGGTAGAGCAAGGGGACTACTTCTCATGTGCTATTAAGGGAGGCAAGATCTGTGAGTACCAGTAAGCACCTAATACTGAATATCTGACAGCTTCATTTCTTTGGTGGTGCAAGTCCCTGACCCTGTTTTATGTGACTGCATTCATTATTTCTACCTGGTGAGATGAGAGTCTGGGGAGTTTAGCCTGGTGAGATTAAGTCTGGCGTAGGTGCAGCTGAACTTCACCTTCCAAAGGCTTGCTGACTCTATAACAAGCTAGCTTCTGAAAACATTTTGGGAGAAGTTCTGGTAGTGCAAACCTGGGGGCTTCAATAAATGGCACCTTGGGCCAAAACAGTTCTACATCTGGGTAGTGTAGGGTGTAGCTCATCCCCTCATAGAAGACCCTCATAGAAGACCCTAAAGCAGTGTCAGCTGATGTACCCCCTGGGGTTGGGGGGGAGTAGGTGGCAGTGACAAAGTCAGTTTGTCCCATCTTTGTAGTGAGGCCACTACAACAGGCTGTGCTGACCCAGGTTCACCTGTAAAAGCCTTTTCCTCAATGACAAGGATTAACAACATGCTGATTTTATTGTTAGTGAAAATTGAAACTCTCCCATTGTCATTTGACTCCAGGAGTTAGGAAATGAGACTTTAAGACAAACCAAATTACTTGAGCGCCATAATCTGCTTGCAGTGTTGACCACGTCAGGTGAGCTGCACATCTGGTACCACCTGCTGTCACTAGAGGACTTCTGCTGCCTGGAAAACTAGGCACTAGTTTTTCCCATTCCTGTGGCATGAGTA